TTTTTTTTTCTCTCTCTCTCTCTCTCTCTCTCTCTCTCTCTCTCTCTCTCTCCACACCCTGCCATAAAAGAGAATTTCACCAGGAAATGCCCATTTTGGTCTAGCCTTGGAAAGAATAGTAAAATCTACCATGAAGCAAAGGGGCAAGAAGAACATGGGTCTCTTCACCAGGAAATTTGGGTCCTTGAGTTCCTTCACTGAGCTCAGCTTTAAATGAAACACTGACCCACAAAGGTAACCTTTGTGATTCCTCTGTGAACTTCAGGTTAAGTGTGGATTTAAAGTCAGAAGCAAAAACATAAATAAATTTAAAAAAATAAAGTCAGAAGCAGGTTCACATCCTGATTTAGCCATTTACTGCCTGGCTGACATGGGCAAATTATTTAAGCCTCAATTGACCACCTGCAAACACAGGATAATAAGCTGATACCTGATAAAATTGGTGTATTACACATTACACAACGTACATAAAGCAATTATCTACAGCCTGACACAAAATGTATAATATTTGTCTTTTATTAGAAACTCTATTAATGTCATCCAACTTTCTTCTTATGCTGTAAAAGTAGACTATCTGGCTGACTTAGAATTTGCTTGTTCACAACACAAGCACATTCAGACTAGGCAGACACACATTTCTGTATCCTTTGAGCTCACCTTAAAAGTACAGCTGTCCTGTGGTCCTAGACCTGGGCTACCAACCACCCGTCCACCAGAGCGCACTTCCAGGGAGTACAGACCCTCATGGGCTTCATTTAGCACAGATCTGAGGACAGAAAGTAGAAACCCTTAGGAATCAGAAACCTTGAACTCCCAAGGTCCAGCTCACTTGACCACTACAGTTTGCTCCCTGCATTTGTGAAACAGAGTTAATAAGACCTTATATTTCATCTTTCACCTCCTAGGTCCACTTATAATTACCACACTTTAAAAGCTAGAGCTTTGAACAGTGCTGATTTCAATGCTGCACTATTTCATAGATACCAGTTATACATTCTTATGATAATAAATATAACACTATTTCATTGATGATAAACTATACATTTTTACACTTGCATGTTAACTGAATTTCATATCCATCTTCCAGTTAATTAGTATAAGTAAGGGGATATATTTCTTTTTCTCTAAAAAGATGGCATAAAACCAGTGTTGCATCTTTTTTTTTTTTTTCATACTGGGGATCGAACTCAGATCCTTGCACTTGCAAGGCAAGTACCAGAACCACTGAGCTAAATTCCCAGGCAGTGTCGCATCTTAATGTCATTAGCATGTTGAAATTAAGGAGATAAATTTAGAAATCGTTAGAATTTGACTTATTTCATGGCAAGTTCTTGTAGGAAGTCTATTCCTACATATACCATGAAACCTAAGGAAAGAGTTTTAAAATGAGTAGTGCTATAAGATGCTCTTTGAGCAGATATATATTGAGGATTGTCTACTTATAAGGCATTGAGCAATGCCCGATAAGCACTAGAATGGTGGGAGTCAACACACCCTCTAGGTCTGAAGCCCTTAATTCTATGAGGATGAATCTAACAAATGGGCAGCTGGCCAAGTATCATGAAAAACACAGGACTGAAGAAACAACGTCACTTGTTTACCCTTGTGTAAATTACAAAAATATCTCCCCCTTTAGAATGAGAGCACAAGAAAGTACGTAGGCACACATCCATCCTGCTATTGAATAACTAAAAGGGTTCCTCCTCCCCCTTTTGATAAGGGGAAACATTACACTAAGTGGGATGTTTAGGGATGAGATGGCATTTGTAGTATGGTCAGTGGATTTCTATGAGCAAATATGGAGGAGGGAAATCTTCCTGAAAGAAGAAATAGAAGCCAAAAGGAAACAACAATGTCATTCCTTTCCCCAGCAACCCATTTTCGTATATCTCTAAGACATGCATAAGAACAAAGGAACTCATGCCAACTCCACAGGCAAACAAAAATTTGAGTAGAATAACAGATTATTTGTAGCCCTATACAAGTATTTCTCAAGTATTACTGTACAAAAAGTACAGTAATTTCAAACTGAGCAACAAACTGAGCCAAAGCAAATTTCTTCCCAAATTGGTTTTGGATTTATACACAATCATTATAATCATACCTATTCCAAATGATGAGTACTTTACATTGCAAACTGTCAGTATTCATTGAAATATTAATAGCTGTAAGGCTCATAGCAAAAATCAAATGCAAATACCATCTAGCTCCTCCTTGTAAAATATTTTTAAATTCTTCCCCATTCCCTCATCCTCCCTTAAGCCCTAGAGATCTCATGGGAACATTTCAAAAAGTATATTCATACGGAAAATTTCCAAAAACTACGATTGATAATTGTCATCACAGCAGGAATTGCTCTAATATGTCACTACAAGCTACTGAGTTGAGCAAAACCCCCTCATTCTGTCTAGTCTTTTTCTTCCAGATAGGTGTACCTGGTCTGGCACATCACCACAGGCAAGTCCAAGAAGAGAGGAGAGATGTCACAGGGGACACTTGGCAATGCAGACACTGCCACATTCACCAGGCTTATCTCCAGTTGAGAGCCATTGGTGGGGTAAAGGATACGTGAGTCCAAACCTGAACATAAAGGAAAGGAAAATCTCAATCTAAGCAGTTGTAATCCACATGGGTTAATGCAAAAACATGGCCACATGGGGGCAATATAAGACATTCAATTTGTCTAAGAATTAAATTAGTACTCATTTCCAAAGGGATTTATGGTTGCTATATAATGGAGCTATTTATGTATGAGCTTATAAAAGAGTAGAGTCTCTTTAGTTCTACGTAAAACCAGGAAAGAATTTTTCAATCCTCCAAGTAACTCTGTACCATGCTAGAAATTGATACAGTAAGCCATGGTTTATAAGATCTCAACTGCAGAACTATCTAAAAGAAATAAGCCAAACCCCATAATGTCATGCACCTTTGCTAAAACCCAGTTCTTTATGGTTGTGATTTTTTTTTTTTTT